CCCCAAAACCCCAAAACCCCAAAACCCCTAAGTATTTGATATTTATAGAATTTCAAATAAGCTTTAATATAAATATGTCAAAGACTGTATTAATTGTGTTGATTGTAGGATCAGTGTTTGTTTCTTGTGAAGATATTTTCTTGGGAGAGAATCATGAAGCAGATTTCATTGAGCTGAAGCCTACTGATGAGATGTTCTACTGGTTGATGAGGTCTAGAAATGATCCGGCCAAGGATCCTCTCGTATTGTGGCTCACTGGTGGACCTGGATGTGGAAGTCAGATGTCTATTTTCTATGAGAATGGACCATGGCATGTAAACGACGATCTTACTTTAAGGAAAAATGAATACTCTTGGAATGAAGTTGCGAATGTCTTATATGTTGATCAACCTCTCGGAAGTGGATTTAGCTCTACTCAAAAGCCAGAGCACAGGGCTAGAGATCAAGATGATGTAAATGAAGCTCTTTATTTGTTCTTGGTTAAATTCATTGAAAAATATCCAGAATTCAAAGGAAGAAACTTCTATATCACAGGAGAAAGCTATGCTGGACATTATGTACCTGGAATTACTGCTTACATTATCTCTCAGAATAATCCTGATATGAACCTTATTTCCTCAGCAATCGGAAATGGATGGGTAAACCCAAGGACACAGTACCCATTCTATAGAAACTACGCTGTAGAGCACGAACTCGTCAGCATCCCTCTAAACGTGCTGCTCTATGCCGGTTTCTACGGATGCAAATTAGCTATAGATTCTGGATATAAGGTATTTGCTTATAAGACTTGTGAATACTTAATGAAGACTATCACCGGCAGTCCTAATGAGTTCAATGTTTATGACATCACTAAGCCTTGCGAAGGATTTGCTTGCTACGACTTCTCCAACTTTGTCAACTTCCTTGAGAGAAAAGACGTCAGAGGGATCATCAATGTTGGTGATAAACCCTTCAATATGTGCAGTGGAGAGGTCTTTAAAGAGATGAGTGGAGACCAAGTCAATGACTTCCAACCTGATGTTAAGTACGCACTCGATAATGGCGTTGGAGTGCTAGTCTATAATGGAGATAATGACTTTATCTGTAATTGGAGAGGTAGCGAAGCGTGGGTAGATGAAGTATTCTGGGAACATCAGAACACATTCAGATCTGCCCCTTACCAAAAATGGGTCGTTGATGGAGAAGCTGCAGGAGAATACAAAAAAGTCAAAGATCTAACCTTCATTAGAGTCTATAATGCCGGACACATGGTCCCCATGGATCAGCCAAAGAGAGCTCTTGAGATGCTCAAGGACTTCATTGCCAGGGATTTCTTTTATCAAGATAGAGCCACAGATTAATAATACGTAGATTTAAAACCTAATTTAGAAAACCGGGTTTGATTCAATAGATCAGATTCACTAAGGGGTTTTGGGGTTTTGGGGTTTTGGGGTTTTGGGGTTTTGGGG